TAAAATCACAACTTTGGATATAGACATATTGTCACGGTGCGTGCGGAGAAATGAGGCGAGGACTCAAGTTGCAGGAAGAATGGGTCCTTTAAGAGCGGTCACTTCAATTTATGAAAGAAATCAATAAAAATCTGTATGTGTGTAAGTGTATGTGTGTGCGTGAAAATATTCAGATGTAACCCCCTTTGTAATCGTTAACATTTTCATAAGTAACTGTAATTTAATTACATTTTTTCTCAGTAACTGTAATGGATTAACTGTTGTGATTAAATTATGTAACACAGTTACATTTAACTAGTTACTCCCCAACTCTCTGTGTAATGTAATAGATTACATTACTAACTACAATTTTTGTCATTTAATTTGGAATCAGTAACGGACAACAATTTGTAAGTAATCTACCCAGCACTGAGTATCTTATCATACAGCTCTTGCTACTTTTTTATGAAGGCAATAAACCACGACAAGTCGTGCGTTACTTCCACACCCTGACATTTCTGCACTCTTAAATGTTTGGAGGGAGTCATAGAGGCATTTCTCTATGTCACCGGCGTGTCCAGACCAAGTCATGGCTTTCACACCTCAGATGGTGATTCAGTCGAGGGGTTAAATGGCCGAGGGGGGGAATGAAACAACCCATCCCGCCCCCACCTTATGCTTCATCACCTCTGCGGTTACACATGCCTACAGTGGAGCCATGCCCTGTAACAGGAAACCGTGGGCTGTAGAGCTCAATGAGCGCCTGCTGGGCTCTGAGAGAGGGCAGTCCTCAGGCCAGGCCAGGCATAGGAATCACGCATCTTGGCCGACACACTGTTCCCACTAACTGGTGTCCCTCTCACCTCAGCCAACATTCGGCCACACCCGCATTAGAATGTCCCATTTCCAGTTTCCTCATGACTTTGTGCCCTTCTCTCATTTGTTTGGAAGTTATGTGCTGGTCATTTGTCCCACTCGTTTTGCAAATCAACAAATGTGAAAAAAAAAAAGTTAGAAAACAGGACAGGTTTGTGCGGTGATGAAAATGATCAAGATTAAAAGACTTTTTAAAATTATATACAATATATTTATATCAAATTACATGGATTTATCATTAATATTTGTTACTGCACAATTTTTTACTATCAATAAGCTGCACAACTTAAGATGCAGAGCCATTCAACGTTTAAAAATGTGTCTCAAGAACCCTCTCATCTTCCATTCAAACATTGTGAACAGAAGCTCAAACGTGGAACAAACATATGGTTCTTAAGTGCCAAGCATGCGCGTTTGAGCTTCTGTTCACTGTATTTGATGTGCTCTATATATGTGCATTGATAAATATTTACATAAAAAGGAATAAAAGACTAAACTGAATCTGTTCATAATTTAAAGCGATCGTATCTCTTCTAAAGATTACTTTTATACTTTTTTGAAGCTTGTAAATGTTGATTGCCTAGACTTTCAATGGAGAGACAAAAATGATGAGAGTATATTAAAAATGTCCTCATTTTTGTTCTGAAATAAATGAAAGTCTTATAGGTTTGGAACAACATGAGGGTTAGTAAATGATGACAGAACTTTAATTTTTTTTCCAAACCAGATTAAATTTCTAAATTATCCGAGTTAATGACATGACCATTAATTTTCTTCTATTAAATTCTGATAAAACAGAGATATTATTCACTGGACCAAAATCCTGTACACATTAACATTAATATCTGCATTTGTAAGGATGTAACTTCATCCTCTACAGACCTGAGTGTTATATTAGACACAACTTGACTTTTAAAAACCATATATCCCATGTTATAAAAACAGCTTTCCCGTTTCTACCTCGGGATGCCCAACCTGAGGAAACTACAGATTGCAACAGCCTCAGAAAGGAACTGCAAATCTGCAACAATAACTGTTTTCAATAAGGTTTCCTAGAGTTCCACTCCTGCTACTGGATGAAAAACAAAAAGCCCCGCCCCCAAACTCACACCATTGGTTGAGCTGTTGCCGTATCGTGCTGACAGGATTTTGAAAATAAACAAACAAAAAAAGAATGTTTTGAAAGCACCACAGAGCCTCTGTGTTACCACTTTAGGAGAAATCAACCTACAAGTGGCTAATTTACCGTTTTAAAAGGGTCATATGATGCGATTTCAAGTTTTCCTTTCTCTTTGGAGTGTTACAAGCTCTTGGTGCATAAAGAAGATCTGTAAAGTTGTTTTAGAAAGGCGGGGCATAGAGGAGAAACCATAATGTACAGTATGTGGAAAATAATGTGTTTTTTGAACCTTAAACTGCATAAACACATTTCATTACACCAAATACACCAAATAATGTTATTTTTAGCAGTATCATATGACCCCTTTAATGGCAAAAATTACAAACATCATCTTTAAGAGCACTATGAAGCTAGACTTAAACCGTTTCATTTCGCTTTTGAGATACTGAGAAAACCTATGACAAACAGCACGCTCCTAAAGCAGCTCTGACAGGGATATAAATGCAATAAAAGTGCATTTCAGGACCACCGTGCCACACGGCTGTCAAAGCCTTGAGTAGTTGCAGCAAAAGCACAAACAAGGTAAACTTTTATGAGCAGCCAGGAAATGTGTGGCAGCTGCCGTCTCCAGACCATCTCAGCCTGCACAATCCATTCATCTGTCCCCTATGTGTGTGTGTGTGTGTGTGTGTGTGTGTGTGTCGTCCCCAACCAACCCTCTTGTCTTCAGAGCCCATCACTTCCCCAGATGTATTCTGTTCGTCCTGTTTGCGCAATCTGCATTATGAACTGTCACATCTGATGAAATAATGGTAAAATGACAGCCGTGACAGCTCCGAATGCACTAGTCCGCTTACTAGACACTTTACACTTTCAGCATGACTGTGTCCCTTTCTTGCCGGTTGGGAGTGTTTTTAGAGATGGTCTTGCATGGTGAGTCAAGGTGACAACATCTTGTGTTTTGTAAAAAACAATCAGCGATAGAAACAGAATCGGTTTCACACTGAAGCAACAAGAATCCCTGAGCTTGCAACACAGTGTTGATACACTACATTAAACCACTCGCTGTCTCTCGAGGCATGCGGCTTCTGGGGAACGCCTTCCTCCCTTTATGTCTCTTTCTGTCGCTGTTCGGAGCTCATTTGAGAAACAGTCAAAAGGACCGTCTTTATCGGGATTCCGCTGAGAAGCTTTCTCAGTCATCTCTCCTTGAACGAGGATCAAACAAACGATGGTGTAACCGTCCTGAGGGCTCGGAAAAGGTTTTCTCCACATTTCAAGAGCGAATTCAAAGTCAACACAGCTGAGACGAGAGGGACGTGAAACCTAAAATGTGCCCATTACAGATTCCACAGGTGTTTAAGACATAAAATAAACAACCGAAGCTAAAGTAAACTTCTGCTTTAGAGGATCGGCCCTCGCTGGCTGACTTCTGAAAGGAAACTGTCTTGAATGGTAAAGCCCCACAAAAATAGAACGCATGGGAGTTGGGGAGCTCGGTGTGTGGTTAGGGAAGTGTGTGGGTGGGGTCACGCTGGCAGCAAACAGGTATGTGCTCACCGCAGCGTGTGATTGCAGAATGTAGTGTCTGAAGAGAAAGACAATGAACACCATCTCTAAATGTGAAAATAAATTCATTATTTATAAACAGAATATACCTACGTAAAATACTGAGCTCATAAATTGCATCTGACATAAACTGTGGTCCAAAAGCATTTTAAGAAGTTGTAGGTGTATTTTTATGCTTAGAGTATCATTGTTAGCTTAGCAACATGCAAATGTCACATTCTATTGCAATCAATAGTAAATCGAGTTTCCTGTGCGATACACTATTTGTTTACATTTCAAATATTATGCTTATTCAAATATTACATTGAAACATTTGGGTTAATTTTATGCTTATTAGAGTATCATTTTGTTAGCTTAGCAAATATGTTATGCTCACTGGAGTATCACGTTGTTAGCAATATGCTATTGCAAATTCTTTCGAAATTGACACAGAGTCAGGTTTCCAGTGCGATTTGCGTAAATAGGGCTATTTGAGGCATATTTATGCTTTCTGGAGTATCACATTGTTAGTAACATTCTAAAAACAAATTATATAGCGATCAACGGTAAATTAAGTTTCCAGTGCGATTCACATGAAGAGGGATAGTCTATTTGTATTGTTTTTAAGCGTATAAAAAAATATCACATTGTTAATTTAGCAACATGCTAACTTTAAATTATTTTGAAATCAATGGGGAAGTTTCAAGTGCGATTTACATGAAGAGGGATATATTTGTATTATTTCTGTTCTTATTTGAGTATCACGCTGTTAGCTTAGCAACATGCTAATGCCAAAATCCATTGAAACCTATGCTGAGTCAGGTTTCTAGTGCAATTCATGTAAACATGGCTATTTGAGGAATTTTTATGCTTATTGAAGTATCACATTGTTAGCAACATGCTAACGGCAAATTTTACTGCAATCAATGGTAAATCAAGTTTCCAGTATGATTCACCAAAAAACAAAAAAACAGACATTTGCATTGTTATTAAGTTTATTAACATTTCACATTGTTAATCTAACAACATGCTAACTTTCAAGTTCTTTTGAAATCAGAGGGATAGTCTATTTGTGTTGTTTTTAAGCGTATTAAAGTATCACATTTTTAACTTAGCAACATGCTAACTTTTGAAATCAAGGGCGAGTCAGGTTTCAAGTGCGACTTGTGTAAAGATGGCTATTTGTGTTATTTCTATGCTTATTGGAGTATCAGATTGTTAGCTTAGCAACATGCTAATGGCAAAATCTATTGAAATCAATGCTGAGTCAGGTTTCCAGAACAGAGTTCTAATCTGGCACAGAGTTGATGCCCATGTAGAGCATTCCAAATCAGTCACTTATGAGGTTCTATTTCTATTGTGATGCTTCCTATGTAGGCATTAAAGTAAACAGTAACTCAGGTTTTTGGAACCAAGCTATAGTCTCTTATTTTATGATGGCAGCATCTATCTTTATGCAATATTGAGTTAAGCTCACAGCTTTCAGCTGAAAACCCTTGAGAGGGATGCCAACCTGATACAAACTTGACCTGACTTTCTCAGAGCATGAAAAGCCCCAGCTTGCCCAAAGACTGTCTAGATGATGTGCAGTCAGCAGGCTGTGACCGCTGGGACTACCAACAGCCCCATGCACCACGGATAAGACGCCCCCAGTAGGCCATCCCTGAGGTGGCTTGGCCTGATGCCTGGCCTTTAGAGTGGCATCGTCTAGAGACATGGATCCCTCATCATTTGGGCACAGCCTGCCTACACATCCATCATCAATTCCCTCTTCATCACCGCCTCGGTTCTGTTCGGTCTGCAACATCCAAAGTCTGATGCACAATGACATTGTCCTTACGATAATTCATCTTGGTTCATGATGTCCTCCAGATTCAGCATGCACACTGCATCTGAAGGTCCTGCAAGTGACCCTGTTTGTTTAGGAGACCAGCCTCAGTCTATATTGATGAAGACCTTGTTTTTGTTTATTTATTCAGTCTGGCTTTTCTTCAGCCTCAATCAATTCAACTTCAAACTCTCAATCACCTTAATTTACCGTCATTGTTTTTGAACTGCAGTAAGAATCTCTTCAAGTTTGAACCCAATTAGATTAAACCCCAGACTGAAACACAGAATAGTTAAATAGAATCCGTTTAAGCTACACATCTGTAAAGGAACAGACTCTGAATATGTTTATACTGAATGACCTTGTCTGTGGCACCTTTGAAGCAGCAGACTTATATATCTGACATGAAACAACATTCACAATTTTGCTTCCATTACATGACGTGTTTCAAGGTGAAACAGGGTGTGTAATCCAATCAAATATGTAGGACGGGACTTGAGTTCATTCATAGGAACTGATTGGATGGTGAAAAATGGGCGTTCCATATAACAGTGGACCTGAATGTGTTCACAGTAGATTTTAGATAACTATTCCTCTCCTAAAACACCACTGGCCCCCACTTTTGAGGAGGTCAAGTTCACTCTCAAGAGCATTTTGATGTATCCCAATTGGAAAATTAAAATGTGCAAACGAATTTCTCCTGCTTTTTACAATTAGATTCTAATGCTCACTAAAACACTAAAATTTAATAACACTGTAAATTATAATCTTTAGCATGAATAGCTATAATAATACATTTTAATGTTGTCTTAAATTCACTTGTAGCATTTACTTTAATTTGTTCTTTATTTTTACACTTACAGTGTAAAAACAAACAGTACATTATTTTAATTGTGCCCATTTATTGATTATAAGAATGCCTGTGTGCCCTATGTCATGTCAAATAAGAAGTTGTTCCAGATGCAGAGCAATGTATTATTGAAAATACATTTAAAAATAAAATATAATTTAAATTACTAACAAAAACTACAACAGTATAGCAATGATACTTAATAACACTGCTCGGAAGTATGAAATTGGTGTGAAAAATATCCTTGTGTTGAGAAAACTGTTCAGCCAGTTTCAGTTTCAATCTTTCATAATTTTATAGTTGACTGGTTTTATTGCATCCACTTCTTTACACAACAAAAATGGCAAAATGTTAGATTAGAGGACAGAATTTGAGCTAAGTGTTTGAAATGAGCATAAAAAAAATTCTGCTAGAGAAAACAAACATTTATTTTATCATAGAAAAGTACACAGACAAGACAACCATAGAAAAGTATACTTGTAGGAATTTTTTAATCACAATCCTTGTAGGGTCTTTCCAGCATTAACATGAAATACAGAGTACAGTGGTGTTTATGCAATATCATTAAGGCTAAGGTAAATTATATAATTCTCAAAGATTGATGATTAAGCTCTAATTGGGTTTCATCCAGCTCAGTCTATAAATCAAGAGATCAAACAATGACTCATGCAAAAAAGAAGCGTTTAGTCATTTTCAGACACTTTTTTTCTCTCTCTCTCAGAACTGCTGCCCACATTCTGTCACCTTATAAAAACAAACACCCGGCAAAATGTTTTAGAAATAAAATATTTCTTATGTGACCTATTCAAAGTGTGAGTGTATAAATAATAATCACTTGAAATCACATCGTTTCAAGCGGTTTGCAGGCCCACAGAGGCAGAGCGTCTAAATGTCACTCGGTGACTCGAGCAATGAAACCGCACCATGTGTGAACCGATTGTAAGAGGAAGTGAATGGCGAGCTGGCAGGGGACGCATCCCATGTTACATCACAAGGCAAGCTGGCACTGAGGTGTCTATGTTGGGCACTATTCATGGGCACAGGCTGAGGCAGGAGACCCAGCAGGGCCAGGAAGAGCTATATGGAGCAGATGGGAGCGTCCTGCAGAGCAACAAGCCTCTCTATAAGTCTGAGAGGAGCGCTCTCCACAGTCGGACCACTGCGATAACATCCACTCAATTTATTAGCACCTTTCTCACCAGGTTATGTGTGGTATGGCTGGCTGGCAATAACAACTTCCTTTATTTTATTTTTAGAATATTAGCCAACTTTAATGACAAAGACAGTAGATAGGAGACAGGATTTCTTTATAAAGAGATTGGATCTGATCGGGATACAATATGTTTGATTTTTTTTTTCTCAAACCAGTTTAAGGAAGAAAAAAAAAAAATTCTCTGATTTCCTGATTATTTACTCACCCCAGGCCATCCAAGATCTATATGACTTTCTTTCCTGAGCTGAAAAGAAATTATAGTTTTGGAGGAAAACATTTCAGAACTTTTCTCCACTTAAAGGCACAATATGTAATTTTCGCCGCTAGAGGGCGCGTATTCAAAATAAACAAAGAGACAAAGGCATAGTTTGATGACGCCGTGACTGAGTGTGGAATCATGGGAGTTGTCGTCTTCATCCACACAGCCGATGCAATCCGACGGGACTCGGGCAGAAATCATGTTAATTGATGAGCTAATGATTTATTAATGTAGTAGAATGAAGCAGGGTGAGGCTGAAAGCCGTCGAAGTGAAACGAGGCGCTGAACGAGCGCGACACACGGCTGGAAAGCAGCGGAGCTTTTATTATGCCACAGTCGACTGCTTCCGCTCCTTCCGGTCGTGCGTATGTGGGGTAAAGCAGCGCTGTTTTATCATACTAGATACGTTTGAAAGTTCTGTTATAATGCTACTCTGTGCGGTCGTCGCCGGTCTAATAAAACGCACAACATATTAAACCGTCTTTGGTGTTTCCATGTTTTCTACAAAACAAAAAATCGAGGGGTTCGACGTCATTGGCAGGCGACATTATGGACACGCTCCGTGTCACTAGTTAAAATTGCTTATTTCTCTGGATTTAAACATTCTTCGAAACATTTGGGATAATGTAAGTACACAAGTCAGCAAAATATATAACACTGTTCTCTAGTGGTTTTGGGATATTTTAATGAAAAAGTTTGTGCATCGAACAGCCAAAAATTAATTAGGGAATCAACAAATAAACGTGTCCAAAATACAATTCTTGAACTGTCAGATGTACAAAAATCTAATAAAATAAAAAATACACAATCAGCCTAAATTGATATAAAGCCTTTAAGTCTTTAAATGTATACATCTTTGAAAACCAATAATTTAATGACAATAAACCTACATTTTTAGCAAATCTCAAAAATAATATCCGTTTTTAGATTGTACATTATAATGTTGTGATGCCTATATTCACTTTCAAACTGATTTTAGTTTTTTATTTTTCTCTTAATTTATTTGGACAAACGAATGTAGGCTACATAATTGTAACATTTTAATTGTTTTTAGCAATTAAAAGTGATTGTTTCCAAACAGGTTTCCCCAAACACTCCCTCTGTATTTAATTGGTCAGTCAATCAGAGAGCCCCGCCCCAAACTCACATGATTGGTTGCGCTGTTGCTGTGTTGGGCCGAACAGGATAACTCAAACAAACAGTAACATTTTGAAAGCACTACAAAGACACATGGTTTTCACTTTTCAGGGAAAACAACCCACTAACGACTTGCTTATTAAAAAATCTTTATCAGTTAAATACACAGAGACAACAATATCAAAGAAATTAGACACTTCAGCTTGAAGACGCCTGAGGTAAATCTGTACATTAATAAGCTTACTAAGAAATTAGTATGTGGAGAGGGACTATGGCTTTGTTCTTTAGTTGTTCTCAGCATGCTTTACACAGTCTTATATGGTTTTAAATCTCAGACAATTTCAAACAATTATCACAGCAGATAATCTGTCTCAATGACAGCTAAACAAATGCTACAACTCCACCATTATCAAGGTAGCACAGGGTAATGTATTTACTAACTCCTTGCTAAACCAACAAAAAAGTGATTAAAGCTCCAGGCTACACAATTAACCTCTCGGGAACAACTCGAAACACCACCAAATGTAAAAACGCTATAGATTATATCTGCTCCGAGAAAAATAATTTCAGTGAATGCATGAATAAGAAATACATTTGCACAGACAGTTATAAACAAAAGCCCATGTTTTACATTTGTACAAAAAACATTAATATGATTTTAGTATATCTGCTTAGTTTTTGTCCCCGCTGTCCAACACAGTATTCAAAGGCTCCCAGACATATATAATTTCCAATATTTCTGCTGTAATTATGATTATGAAAGCTGCTTACTGACAGAAACTGGGAGTATTGATAAAAAATTAATTAACGATTAATTTTGTGACTTCAGAAGTGTCAAGATCTTTAAAGGATTAAAATTTTGGTTTTGGTGTGTTTTAAGAAACCTTGTCCTTAACAATATACATTGCAGACACACTTCTGTTTCTGCTGACTTGCTAAATTTGTTTCCCATTATGTTACATTTATGAATTCAGTCATTTTTTTCCACAGTATGTAAGTGAAGATGAGCTGAAAATATGTTCAGCTCCTTTGAGAAATGCCGGGAGGCCATCATTAAGAAAAACTGCCAGGTTCCTTCAGAACGATAATCTATTCCCTCTATTACATGTTCATGGCGGTAATGGTTTTAAATGCAGAAGCTCCTTGTCTGACTGATGCACTGCCAGAAGGCCGAGAGTGAAGATAGACTAGTTTAATTTGCGCTAAAAGACTGAGGCCAGACTAATAACAACATTTCTCAATGAACAAGCCGAGCAGCTCGTGGACTCTGACAGGACGATGTGAAATACACTGTTACGAGTCCTGTTACAGATACTACCAATCACACAGGACAATTGTTCAGCTAAAAACTTCTTCAGAGGAAGATTGGGTTGAAACAAAAAGTCTGAGCACCACAGCTTGGCTTATCGAAGCATGTGCGCTAACCGCTAGGTCATGGCTCTGACAGCAACAGCTATTTCAGTAACAACAGAGTTGGAAAACAGTTTCCAAGTAGGGTTTTACTTTCAACTTCACCTATCTGACCAGTCTGTAATGGTCAGTGT